GTAACTTATCTTTGGCTCGGAGTGTGTTGGTGTGGGACGAGGGGGAGTCAGAACAGGAATCTATTATAGAAGAGTGCTTTTCTTGTCATATTAGTTGTAATTTGAATCTGGCACTTTTAACCACTTTTTTCATGACTTAGCTGTATCTTGATTTTTAACGTTTATTTTCATTTCCATTACAGATAACAATGAGAAAAACAAACTTAGAAATTACAGACCTTGAAAATGTAGAAGAATCAGTGGTCATCTCTACATTAGTAAGAACTGTTTGAATTCTTCCTATCTTTATATTATTTGGTACTTCGTGGTGTAACTACTGAAGACTGACAGTAATTCCCACAGTGAAGGATCTTATGAGAAATTGGTTTTATTTGCATTACCTCTTCCTCAGTTACTGGAGGAAGAAACAAGTGAAACAAGAAACAAGTCTGCAGAAATTATGAATCTTTAGAACTTGGAATACAAATATTGTGCTGTTACAGGTAGTCCTCATTTAGTTACTGCAATGGGGACCAGCAACTTGGTTGTTAAACGAAGTGGCCACTAAGTGGAAAATCATGTGACTGCCACTGTGCTTATGAAATTACAGAGTACAGTATGTGTTAATTGATTGTAATGGTGAACACATGATTGCGAGAGAAATTCTATAAAAGGCATAAATGTGGCCATTGGTTGAAAAGGTTGCATTTTCAACAGCTTTGCAACTACAAATACAGATAATCCTCGACTTATAACAGTTCATTTAGTGACTGTTTGAAGTTACAATGGCACTGTAAAAAGTGATTTATAACCTTTTTCTGCACTTAGGAACTGTTGCAGCATCCCTTCAGTCACATGATTAAAGTTCAGATGCTTCGCTATCAAGACATATTTATGACAGTTGCAGTGTCCCCAGGGTCATGTGATCACCTTTTTACGAGCCTCTGACAGGCAAACTGATTAGAGAAGCCAGATTCACTTAACGACCGTGTTACTAACTTAAGAACTACAGTGATGCCCTTCAGAAGTGTGGCAAGAAAGGTCATAAAATGGGACAAAATTCACTTAACAAATCTTTCACTTAGCAACAGAAAATTTCAGCTCAGCTGTGGTCATAGGTTGAGGACTACCTGTGGTTGCTGTCTGAGGCAGCAAGGATTGTGTTAATTAGTGCTAACAGTACTGTTAACTACTGTTAATTAGTGAATAAAATTTTATATCCATAGTGAGTAGCACCGTGTAGTATTCTACAAAGAGCATCTCTATGCATTTGATTCTGTCTTAAAAGCTACTCAGTAATAGCATGAGGCATAGTTTATAGTGCTTCACTACAAATATAGATTGGTTTGCAGATCTTTCTTCCAAAGTACTTGGGGAAATAATATTAAAATTATTAAATTAGTTGTATGTTTCCACTGCTTTGGGTAAAATAATTATTACTACCACATTCTTTTGTGGAAATAACAAATCTGAAGTGTAATGGAGACTAGATCTTGATAGACAAGGATTAAATTGATAGCAATTATGTCTAACACATTGGGATAAACTTGATTTTTGCCTCATCATACTTCAGGGAAACTGACCTATGATTTAGTCTGTAGTGTCCTTGCTATCTTTGGTTCTCAGTCTGAAACTTAATATTACGACTAGTAATTCAAATGGGCTTTTTGTTTACATCAGGAAGAAGAAATTCATGATAATCAACAGAAGATAGAAACGGTTAAGGAACGAATACATAAGCAGAAGAGGGAACTAGAGGAACTGAAATGCCGTTTGCAAGAAGAAGAACAAAAATGTGCAGCCATCAAAGAGAAAATTAATCAAGTACAAGACGAAGTAGCTACAATCAAGGTAGTATTATTACCATTCAGCATGGTGGGCAGAATGGACAAGACTATCTAAAAAGAGTGAAACAAAATGAATAGGCTGCACCTTTTAATTCCCATTTAAAAGATTTTAATTGTTACTGTGTTTGAGGCACACCAGAAAATTCAAAAAAGTAGATACAATGTTCTACAATTTGGCCTAAATATAGAACCGAAGCTCAGCTAGTTAGCTACTTTTAGCAATACAGAAATTCCTGGGGGAAAAATATTGTGAGTCAGTAAAAACCTTGAGTGAGCAGAGTTTGGATAGGGAAATCTGTAGTTCTCCCTCAAAATGATTGTAATTTATGACCAACCATCTTACCACAAGGTAACGCTGGGTGGTTTACAATGTTAAAAAGATAAAATATTTCAAAACCTGTACACCATACGTAGTAGATAATATAAAAGATAATTCAGCCCTAATTAAAAGAGAGGGAGGGAGGGAGGGAGGGAGTAGATTGAGCAGAGGAGGAGTTGGGATCTATTATTAGTCTAACAACCACCTCCAATGTGAAGCCTCCCCCACCCCAATGTGGAATCCCAACTCAACTGGCAGAGGTAGGTCTTCAAGCTCTTATGAAAGGTCAGGAGGGTAGGAGGTGACCTTATTCTGGGGGGGGGACAAGCTGTTCCAAAGAGCAGGAGCAACAGCAGAGAAGGCTCTTCTGCATCCTGCTCACCAGAATATCTTGGTCAATTAGGTCTGCAGCATGCCGTCTCTGCTGGCACAAGTGGGATGGGCCAGTCCCATTGGGTTGGGATGGTCCTGCAAGTAGCCTGGGCCCATGCCCTGAAGGCCTTTAAAGGTGATTAAAAACACCTTGAATTGCACCTGGGAGCAAACTGGCAGCCGGTGCATTTAAATGTGATGCATATACATTTAATACATTAATTAACCTATCTTGGTATTGATTTCCTCCTAATAGGATGGATTACATCAGGCAGAGGATGAACTGGAGAGAAGTAAAAACAATCTAAAACATTACGAAGAAAAAGAAAGGCTCCATTTGGAATCCATAAAAGCATTTAAACATAATGTAGCTACAAAAGAGGGAGAATTAGAGGTATTTACTTTCTCCAGCATGATTGCAAAATTTCTTTGCAGTACATTTGCCTACTAAATGATGGGAATGGTGGTAATATTCTCTATTGTAATATGGTAACATAAAGGTAACATTCCTTATTGCATATTATAATCTTATGTATTTCTGTAGAGTTGATTTTAATTAACATAGCCTAACGGTCCTTGGTTTTTTTTAATACCTATATTTCTAGGATTTCCTCACCAATATTTCCAATATCAAATATGCAAGGATTTTTCTAAATCTGGGCATAAAGATGGCTATTAACTATGGTGGCAGTGTGAGTAGTGGTCTTCCTTATGTAGTGGCTTGGCCCCTAGTGGGCCACAGTAAGAACAAGCTGCTGAACTAGATAGGCCAAGGATCCAATCCAGCTGGACACTGCTGGTGCTGTGTCCTTAAGAGCATTTTCAGTGCTTTGCCTATTTTGAATTGGAGTATTTATTTCTTTATAGATATGCTTTCACACCCCCACAAAATTGCTTGTTAAAGAGTAAAGGACTGGTCTAACTAGTTATTTTTCATCAGAGTTTTGAAGCCAATCTCTTGGAACAATTTTATAGTTTTTCTCTACAGCAGTTCCAGGAGCTTTCTAACATTTGATAAGTTGTTGGTTGCCCAATCTGGCATATCTTTTCCCCTCTTCGACAGAATTGCTATTTCACAGGCACTTCTGGTGGGATAACTAAAGAGGAACAATTTTAATTAAGTATAAATTGCATTGAAAAATAATTTTTCATGAACAATAAAACACCATTGCTAATACCAATTACTAATTTAGTTTTTCGGGCCCATGGGGAAATCAGAGTAATTATTTCTCTAGTTATTAGGTGCAGAAATAAACAGCTAGAAACTCAGTATTCAAAGGCAATTAAATATATATTACCAGACAATGGAAGCAAGCTTTTTTGGGGGGGGGTGTGCAAAATTTTCAACAACTTCTAGCTTGCATTATCCAATATTTAAATACCACTACTATATGAATGCTTAGGTTGACATAGCATACAAAGTTCTGAAATGTTTCAGAGATATCGCATTAAAGCTAAATTGTATAATTTAGGACTTGTGCTGTGCTTCAGATCTGGAAGCAAATGATGCTTTGGATTATGCAGGGGATATGAATATAGCACCTATCTGAAACTGCTTTAGTAACTTGGGATAAGTGATATGAGTATCTTTTTGCTTCAAATCCGAAGAATTGTATGCCTGTGGCTTTGTGTTTGTGTGAGTCTATATGTGAATACTTTGAATACTCTAAAGTGTTTATAAAAGTTTCAATATTTTAAGTAATACGTAAACAAGTTGCACTACATGTTAGAATAATAAACTAGCAGCAGCATAATTTAAAACTCTAGAGCTGTATAAATAGCCTGAAATAGGCTTTTTCAATTTGACATGACAAAGCATCCAGCAGTCCTGCCTTTATTAGCTAGGAAATCACAAGGAATCAGAGATGATATTCAGCCGGTTCGGACCAGTTCGCCTGAACCGGTAGCGGAAATCGCAGATGGGTTCGCCCACCTGCCTCAGCTCTATGCCGTCCTATTTAGGCACGTTTTTTAGGCCGGCGCATGCGCGGAAGGCGCACACATGAGCAAAGCGCATGAGCGGAAGCCCAGTGGTAATAAAACGTGAAACCCACTGCTGCAAGGGATGGTGAAATTTTATTTGTATTTATGAGGAGCAGGTCAATACTTTTAATAAATATTAAAATAATAAATAATCTGACCAATATTTCCGTTCCAGCTTTATGCTCTGGATTCCTTCCCATTTCTTTTTGATTTGTAGAGAGGGCTAATATGCGTTCCATCGCTGTTCAGATTTTATTGCATCCAGCTTTTGTATATTTTCTTATTTCACACCTATGCTTGCTCTTAATTTTTTAAAACCTCCTGTTCCCTTTATTTATTATACTTAAGTTTCACTTCACTTTATTATTTTTTTCTACATTACTGCATTATTTTCATCCAAAAGCGTAATGAAAATTGTCTTTTGCCATATTTTAACATATTTATTAGGAAATGATTGCAAAGGCTTCAAAGATCCATCCAGAGCGAATAGAAGTAACTAGGACTTATAAAAGTCTGGATACAGAAATGAATCGTTTGAGACAAAAAATAAATTCAGAAAGAGAACGTACTGGAGATAGAGAAGAAATAATAAGGTAAGTGTGTGTGGGGGAGGGAGGGAGAATTTTGTAGGTGAGGGTGAGTGAATATGTAGGCGACATCTGAACCCTACATCAGTGTTTTCTGGCCTATACACTATTTAGCCTACAAAAAGAGGTCAATTTTTTTAAATTAGACATTCCATTCCATAATTTTCTAACTCACCTAACTGGGAAATGCCTTAAAAATAAATGTTATTTCCAAATCAATTTATATTCTGAAATTAATTCTAGTTCACATATCTGGAAAATATTTTTGAAAATAAAATCATCATAATACACTGAAAGGGGTTATGGAGTTCTTTGATTCCAAGAATATCTGTACAGAAAATGCAATCACCAATTAATGAAGAAGAATTGGTTTTCTGAATCTAGAGCTATATCATCATTTTTATGTATTATCAAGTATTAAATACTGAAAATCAACAATTGGTGTTAATTTTCCAGTTCGGGCAACTTTGTGCTTCATGAAGCAATACTTTTTCATTGTTGAAAATTACTATCATTAGAGGTCCCCAAATTTTAGTTTCTGGCAATCATTTCTCTTCCTGGAATGACATTCAAAATTGTTCAGGATAGTCTTCAAGGCATCCAGAAAAACTTCCTTACAACATCTAGTAGCTAGGTGCACCAGGTTATAGACATCTTTCTATTGTAGAATTTCCCTACTTTACTTTGATACTGGTTTGAAACTAATGTTTGTTTTTCTTATTTCTTTTTAAATATGCAGACAACTTCAGGAAGCAAAAGAAAAATACCAGAGTTCAGAAAGCAAAACCAAAAATTTGAAGAAATTCATTAAACTATTGGATGAGATGATGGTTCAGAGACATAAAACATATCTGCATTTTAGAAGGTAAGGTATTATGTGTGTTTTTGCTATTTTTAAAAATATTCAGTAACTTAAGCAAGGATTTAATAAGAGACAACGGCATTTTTGCATAATGGAACCACTGCATAAATCTTTTAAAAAATTGAAGTCAGTAGGCAAAAGGGATTCTTGCAAGTACATTTATCTTCAAAAATAGACTTCTATTACTGAATTATTATTTCTCGGTGCCACAGAAGTTTATAAAACTTCAAATTTTGTTTAAAATTCTAACTTTTTTAGTAATTATCATCATATGCAAGAGGCTGAACAGCAGGTGTTCTTTAACTGATTCAGCCTGGTTTATGAGAACAGATTATTTAATTGTCTCTAGGAGGCAATGCACTAAGACGGATAAAGGAGCAGCACTGGAGTGGACACGTATAAACAGACCCCAAGTTGTGTGCTGGTGTCATTTCATATATTTATATGTTTAATACATTTCCCCCCAAAAAATATATATCTTCATTTTTTTAACATTTTCATTTTGAAGGTTTCTTACTATGCGATGCAAAATTTACTTCGATTCTTTGTTAAATCAACGGTCGTATTCTGGAAAAATAGACTTTGACCACAAGAATGAAAGACTTTCAATTACTGTAAGTCTGGTTTTTTGGCTTACTTTTGCTTTTGTTGTTATTTTATTTTCTGCCTTGTTTAGAATGAGTTGATCGCTGAATAAAGTGTGCCCCCCCCCCTTCCCCACTCTATGCCAGTTCAGCTTTATACATTTAACAAAGATTAGCCTTAAAGTGAAATGGAATATAATGGTTTCACTCCTCCACATAACCTGCATGCGAATGAGCTTCCATGCGAGCGCTCTGTTGTTCCTTGCAGGAAATAGAAAACAGAATTTTTTTTTAATACCTCGGAGCAAACAGAAAATGATAAGCGCTTTTTCCAAAGGCACAAATGCTCCCTAGGTCATTGCCTCAATTTAATAGTACTTTATTATCCAAAAAGCTAGCAGGGAAGGCAAAAACAAGCCACTTCTGTACTTGTTGCCATGAAAACTGTCACTAGGAGTCAAGCTTGACTTGTGGAAACCTTTTTTTTTTTCCCCAAAAAAAGAGCTGGCTCAATAATTCATGAAACGAATATATCTCATTTTTGTGTCTTAAATGTATGAAAATGTTAGAGATAGATTGGGTTATGTCTCCAGATCGGGGATTCATGTTTTTAATTTAGGTCTTGTGAACAATATCCAGTCGTCAGAAATGATTAAGCAACTTCTCATAACAAATCTGAATTTTCTCCCCTATTCCCATTTTAATACAGATTAATTATTCTCTGCCCTATTATTCTTGTCTTCTGCTTCCCAATTAATCCATAACAGCTTTATTTTGGAAAGAAAACTAGATTGCAATAATGAAATGCATTAGGGTATTTATAAGTGCATTTTTATACCTGACAAATTGCCTTTCAGGGTGTGTAATTCTTTCTACATTAAAGTCTTGCTTTGTACAGGTAGTTCTCAACGAACAACCACAGTTGAGCCCAAAAGTGAGTTTTTCCCCCTTTTTATGAACTTTCTTGCCACGGTTGATAAATTAGTAACCCAGTTGTTAAAATTAATCTGGCTTCTCCATTGACTTTGCCTTGTGAGAAGGTCACAAAAGGTGATCACATGACCTTGGGACACAGCAACAATCAGTGAACCAGTTGCCAAGTACCTGAATTTTGATGACATGATCATGAGGATGCTGCAAGGGTCATTACTCTGAAAAACGATCATGTGACTTCTTTCAGTGCTGTTGTAACTTTGAACAGTCACTAAATGAACTGTTGAAAGTTGAGGACTACCTGTATAGTAATATATAACATTTTGCATATTTTCTGTACATAAACATTTGTACATATTAAAATAATTCTTGAATAATTCATTCAGATTATATTATTTTTTAATTTTAAACATTCCCCCCCCCTTTTAATGCTTTGAGGCTTTAATAGATTTAAAAAAAAGTCATTGCCAGTTACTGCGACAGAAATTAAGATATTTTACAAATATTGCGTCAAATACAGTGCTGCCTATGTAAGGGTGATATTGTTGCTAATTATAGCTTTTCTTGAACGATATGGCACAGTAAAGACTTTATGAGGAAATTTCACTACAAGGAAGTGAGAAGGTTACATCTAATTTTGAACGTGGCGGATCAGTTTGATGTTTGTTCGGTTGATTTTTTTTAATTGTCAAATTTTATGTTTAGGCCACATATATATATAGATAGAGAGAGACAGAGACAGAGACAGAGAGAGACAGAGAGACAGTTTATTGATAGTTATTGGCAATCAGGAATTCCCCATTAATGAATACATGGAATTATTAATTAGAATAATTAATAATTAAAAGAATAAACATGTTGGTGAAAGATGGGCATAATGCTTAGCTTCTATTTCACCATTTCTATTGGCTTTCATAAAAATGATGGAATTAATGGACTTGGCCCTCTCTGGCCAATTTCCAAGTTGAACAAGGGGGAGGGAGAGAAGGAGGTAACTGCTCTGACCCACATTTATGAGTATAATGCAATACTCTAGCCTGAAAAATGTTTTAGCAGTAATTCTATGAAGGGAAAAAACTGGAATTCAACTTTTTATAGTCCTGCAATTTTTGAAAACTTAATAGTCAATTTTATGTAATCATAGAAATCATCACTTAGCTGAACATTCTTGACATTGCTCATGATTTTTTAAATACATAAATCAAAATTATTTTCATATTGGGGAGTTGTTATGACATTTGTCACCTCAAGATGTCCTCATAATTCTAAAAGATGGACTGCACGGAATATTTTGCAGAAAAACAATGTCTTCTGGCCACTTTTTCTTAGCATGTTATTTTATTGCTATTTAAGTTTAATTGTAAATATAGGGTGGTATAATTGCCTGTGTTTATAGTATTAGATGCTTTGGATGCAATTCGTGAAGCATCGTGATGATGAATATTTCATTCATTTCAATGGCCTGGAAGCAGTGGAATGATTTATTTTGTATATATTGTTTAGCAGATCTCCTTGCACATATTTCATAAGAAGATTTTTACTTTAAAATACATTGAAATAAGGGGACACGGTAGCTCAGTGGCTAAGATGCTGAGCTTGTCAGTCAGAAAGGTCAGCAGTTTGGCGGTTCAAATCTCTAGTGCCGCGTAACGAAGTGAGCTCCCGTTACTTGTTCCAGCCTCTGTCAACCTAGCAGTTTGAAAGCATGTAAAAATGCAAGTAGAAAAATAGGAACCACCTTTGGTGGGAAGATAACAGC